AGCTAAGTGAGTTCGTGAAATAGGTACGGGCCGCTCTAGTAGGTTTGCTTCGAGGTTAACTAGAGCTCTGCATGCTCACAATATGATAAGTAATATGCATCCCAAGAGGACCTAAGCTGGTGCTGAAAAATGGATCTGTAATGAGCTAGCTAGCGTATGTGGTTAGGTGTTACAGTGACATTAGTTTGTAATAGGAATAGGTTAGTTGAACAGAGTGTTTAAATAGATAATTCACAGGTAGGTTGCAGGTATTGCAGCATAGTGTAGTACTAACAGGTGGTCTAATGCCTGTATAGCGGACTACTTAAATTAGACAATGACTAAAGTTGTACGTGTGGCTTGTTGTACACTCTTCATATAACTAAAAACTGTAAGACCTCATAGATCAAATTAATAAAAATTGCCCGGCAATGTAAGCCACCTTAAAAATAAAAAAAAAAAAAAAAAAAATATTATAAGCAAAGTGATAATATATCTTGTTATCAACAGAATTTGCAACTAAAGGATTTGAAGGTTTACCAAATTTATTTGCATATACAATTAGTACTAAAGATACTGCATATATTTGATTAGCTAATTTTAATATATATGAATAATTAATTAGCCAATTGCATACTTCTAAGATATTATCTATTTTATTAAATATTGCTAAAATTTGGTTATCATTATTGTTTTGTAATGGAATTTGTTTAACTTGTAGATTATCTTTAAAATAGTTACTAAATTTAAAAATAAAATTATTATATTTTTTTTAATTAATAATAGACAAATACCTAATAGAATATCTTCAGAATTATCATAATTATCTCTTGATAAAGATGCTATTAAATAAAATATTATTATTTTATTTTAATTTATAATAATAATAATAATAATAATAACAGATTTTATTCATATTCCTCTCCGTCGATCATTCCGACCATTTTTGGAGCAGAAGAAAAAATGTAAAAAACACAATTTTCTTACTAAGAAACAGTACCTGAGCCTTTAAGAAAAAGAGAAGAAAACACAAAAACACATA